CATGACATTTTTTATTGTAGTGGTTGCAAATTAGCAAAAAAAATTTGCTTTAACTTTTCCTCAAAGTATTTCTCATTCTATTGCACCATTTGTTCTTGTTCACTCTGATGTGTGGGGGCCAACTCCTGTTGCTACAAAAGGAGGGTCTCGATATTATGTATCCTTTATTGATGATTATAGTCGTTATTGTTAAGTTTATCTTATGAAATGATGACTTGACTTTCTTTCTATTTATCGATCATTTAGAGTACTTATTAAAACTCAACATTCAACTGTATTTAAGTGCTTTAGATGTGACTTGGGTGGAGAGTATACTTCATCCAATTTCTCTGAATTGCTTGCTCTTAACGACACAATTAATCAAACCTCATGTACTAATACCCCACAAGAAAATGGCGTTGCTAAATGAAAGTATAGACACATTGTGAAAAATGCTCGTTCGCTTCTTTTGTTTGTCAAAGTTCCCTGTGAATTTTGGGGAGAAGCAGCTCTTGCTGCTGTTTCTTTAATTAATAAGATTCCATCTTCTCACAATTCAGGTTTATCATCCTTTGAACCATTGTATGGGCATCATTCGGATTACTCCTCATTGAGAGTCTTTGGTTGTACTTGCTTTGTTCTTCGTCCTGAAGTTGAACGTAATAAGTTGACATCTCGCTCTGCTATTTGTGTTTTCTTGGGTTATGGGCAAGGGCAAAAGGGTTATCACTGTTTTGATCCCATTAATAATAAATTATATATTTTTCATCATGTTGTGTTTCTTGATCACATTCCATTCTTCTCTATTTCTGATAATACTCATAACGTGATTAAAACTGACCTCATTCATTTTAATCCATTCTCTGATGATATAAACAGTCTACCTCCCATAGCCTATGTACTGTTGATTCTTCATGTCATGCAGGTACACATGCTCCAGATCATGCTACCCCTTCTCCTTTTATGGCTTCCCAAGCAACGCCTGCGATTGTTGATCCAACTCCTATTGCATCTCTTCCTCATTATCCTCAAAGTATTCGTAAGTCCACTTAGTTACCTGATTTTGATTATTCTTGTTATTCTGAGTTCTTTTGTTGCTTTCTAACATCCATTTATAAGTTAGTTGAACCATCTTCCTATAAAGAAACTATTTTGGATCCTCTTTGGCAACAAGCTATAGCTAATGAATTTTCTACTCTGCATAAGACAGACACTTGGAACTTGGTTGAATTGCCTTCAAGTAAACATGCTATCGGTTGTGGTTGGGTTTATAAGATTAAAACCAAATCCGACAGTTCGATTGAACGCTACAAGGCTAGATTGGTTGTTAAATGTTTTAATCAACAGTATGGTTTGGATTATGAGGAGACTTTTGCTCCTATTACCAAGATAACCACTGTTCGTACACTTAATGCAGTTGCATCTATTCGTCAGTGGAGTCTCTCTCAATTGGACGTCAAAAATGCCTTTCTAAATGGAATCTTCAAGAGGAGGTTTACATGATTCCTCTCCTAGTCTTTCTCACTCTCCTAGATTTGTTTGCAAACTCAAGAGTGCACTTTATGGCCTCAAACAAGCACCTTGTACCTGGTTTGAGAAAATTTTCACTGTTGTTAGCTCTCTTGATTTTACATCTAGACATCATGACTCCACTTTATTCTTTAGATGCACTTCTGCTGGTCACATTCTATTATTGCTATATGTTGACTATATGATTATTACTGGTTATGATGTTGATGGAATTGCAGGTATGAAATCAGAATTGGCTTGTTGTTTTGAAAAGAAGGACTCGGGTACACTGTCTTATTTTTTGGGGATCGAAGTTGCTTCTTCTCTTAGATGTTATCTCATCTCTCAGTCTAAGTATACTATAGGTGTTATTGAGCATGCTCGTCTTACTAATACTGAAACTGTTAATACTCCTCTTGAGTCCAACGCTCGATATTCATCCTCTGACGAAGTACCATTGACTGATCCCACTTTGTATTGCACTATTGTTGGATGTCTAGTATATCTTACCATCGCACGTCCCGATATTACTCATGCTATTCAATTATTAGTCAGTTTGTTTCAGCTCCTACTACAATTCATTGGGCAGTAGTTGTTCGTATTTTGCATTATCTTCGTGGTACATGCTTTCAGAGTCTTTTGTTTCCATCAACCTCATCCTTAGAACTCCGTGCTTACTCTGATGCTGATTGGGCCATCAACCCCATTGATCGCAAGTCCACTACTGATTTTTGTATATTTTTGAGTGATTCTCTTATTCCTTGGAAAAGTAAGAAGCAAACTCTTGTTTCCCGTTCCTCTATAGAAGCAACGTATCCAGCTATGACATTCACTACAACTGAGATTGTGTGGTTTCGATGGTTACTTGCAGACATGGGTGTTTCTCATTCTTCCCCAACTCCCATCTCTTGTGATAATACTAGTACTATTCTCTCACAACTCTGTGTTCTATGAATGCACAAAGCATATTGAGATTGATTGTCATCTGGTACATCATCATCTACAGACTGGCACCATTTTCCTACCTTCTGTTTCTTCATCGTTGCAACTTGTTGACTTCTTCACTAAATCTCATTCGGTTCATCATTTTCACTTCTTGAGTGACAAGCTCTCGTTGCTTCTTGCTTTAATATCATGAGTTGGAGGGGGGTGATAATATACGTGTTTATATTTATTTTATTTAGCTTAATATTTAATTTCCTTATTTTAGGTTTCCTATTATTTTTAGGTTTCTTTGTAGTAGTATAAAATATATATTTATTTTCATTGTAAACCCTAATTCTTGTTGCTCAATAGATTGTTGTTTTGTCTCTTTATTCTTCTTCTTCTCTTCTCTTTTCTTCTTTTTGGATTGATTCAACGTGTTGGTTTAATATAGACTAGACATTTTATTTATATTGATTAAGACAAGATTAAAGAAGATAGCATGATTAATTGTTCTTGTCTAGCTCCTATCGACCCTGTTTAGTCGACCACACCAACTCGATGAACAATTTGGTGTGTTCTAACATTCTTTCAATATTTCATGTGGTACAGCAAATAGACAAGTAGCTTTTGATAAGGTCCCTCTCTCTCCTCATCCAGTACTACACCAACTCGATGAACAATTTGGTGTATTCTCACATTCTTTCAATTTTTCATGTGGTACAGCAGATAGACAAGTACTTTTGATAAGATCCCTCTCTCTCCTCATCCAGTACCACATTAAATTGTAGACAACTTTAGAGATGAGCATTTAAAAAGCCATAAATGCAAATTAAAATCATAATAAAAGTTACCATTTTATCCTTGCCTCTGGCGATGTAGCTCCGGACATAACTTCCGGTGTTCGGTATCGTTGCTATGCGTACGTGCTTGATATTTCCGTCCCAACTCCTGCGCCAAACCCTTATTTTGCAATCAGCATAGGCTGCATAAATTCTATCATTTGACACTTCTAATGCAACTGCCATGCATGCTTTAGTTTTAAGCTGCCCACATTCGGCAAACTCCGGGAGCTTCCATATTCGAATGACGTTGCCTTGGGAGCCGGTGTATACGAGCCCATTGGACGATGCAATGGACAAGATTTGACCGTCTTTTTTAAGTATGGAAGAAATGCATTTGTAATTTGTGTGAAGTTCATGTAGTCTGGAGGGAGTGGTGGAGGAGAGGTGGTGGCGTGGTGGCGATGCAGGGGGAGAGAAGAAAGGTTTTAGAGAGAGAGAGGTGGTGCTCAGCCGTGGGGGTATGCATGGGGGTTCTGTAAACTGTGGTTCTTTATTTGAAACACTTCTTAAGAAATTTTTGCTGGGGGGTCCTCTTATTGCGAATGATGGTTCTGAGTTTAGAGGCTCTTGTGTTGATGATGCATTTTCCATCTCTCTTTCTCTCTCCTGTCCCTGCTTTGTGCGTTTGAAGGAAGATGGTTTGTATACAGGTTATTATCAAGGTACAAGTGGGGAAAGTTTATTCATTTGCACAATTTGTTGGAGTACAAGTTGAGCCACCTCCTATTTACTATGTGTTCGTGTGTGAAATTTTATAATTGTTTATAAACAAGGTGTCCTAAGGAATGTGTCGTTGAAAGTAGAAAAAGTTGCATCACTTGAATCGTTTGGACAAAAATCGAGTATAGGCAATTTTAAACTTTGACAAACAGAAAATGTTATGAATTTACGGTGCTTTTGGCAAAAAAAGAAAGGGGGATAGTACCAAAAAAGAAAGAAAAACATTATCATATGATAATTGGACCAATGTGTTGAGGTTCGATTTGGATATTTGAAGTCTAACTTCAAAAACAATTTCATTTGATAGTTGGACCTAATATATCAAAGTTCGATTTGGATCTCTAAAGTTTAACTTCAAATCCAATTATTTTGACACCTCTAATATAGTTCGACTTAGCATGCAGAGGTTCGGCCAATTTGACACCTTTTGAATGAACCAATGGACCATGGTCCATGTTGGCTCATGCCTCTTGATTGGGTTTTGAAGAGAGACTGGCATTGTGGTGTGAATTGGAACCCATCTAAAAGTCGAGGGGTCAAAATACAATTTTCATTAACGAACTGAAAACTCAGTTAACTGAAGAAAAATAATGTCTCAAACGAACTGTTGACACGGCGGCCAGTGCCAATCTGAGGCGGCAAAGAAGAAATCGGAGACAAATCCAAAACCCGAAAGGATGCATTCGTCTCAATGCGGCCATGAACTGCCTGACCGGCACCTATCATCATTATATCTTCTTTTATGATTCTTTATCACAATTTGGCCTACATCTCTGTAATCTGATCACGTCTGGCGGTTGCAGTTCTTTGGATTCGCTGGACAAGAATCCGATTTCGGATCTCCTCATCTGCCTTCTTCATTTACTTTTCACAGCATTCCTTGTGTGTTTCGTTTGTTAGTGCAATTAAGGTTTACCAGACAAGAATAAAGAAAAACATTGGACAGAGATGAAATTAAGGAGAATAAGATATTAGATTCATCTCTATGTCAGATCTACAAGGAACTCATTACAGAGATTACACTTTCATCTTAAACTAAACTTCCTTAAAACTCTCAATCCTAGTAAAACAAGAGTTTGAATTATTTTTACCAGCCCAAATGGAATTTGGCAATTAACAAGCATGAGACACAGAATTGCAATCAAACAAGCACTACATTTACACATCAATTCGAGTAGAAAATTACATATTCAGAACATGTACTACGAGCAAAAACTTTGGGCTTCCGACTTATATTTCTGCGCAGAAGCGAGTACTCCCAATAAGACAAACTAAACATCTACTAAACCTTTCGGGGCTTCATGATTTCCTTGCTCTGATACTTCATGCCTAGCCTCGGAGCTGCAGACAACAATTTATTCATTTAAGCTGGCCCATGAGTTTATACATAAGTCAATAACTTTAAACCATTGGTGAATGTGGCTAAAGTGCATTGCTCTATCTGTAAAGAAGACTTAATTATGCTTAGAAGTTCAGATTATGTTCAAGCAAGTCTGTCACCAAGAAATCATATAGTCATCACCAAGAAAGATAATAGGTTGCAAGTCATACCTAGACCGGTTGCATCTGAGCCTTTCATGATCCTTAATCTCTTGCAAGAATCAGTGAACATCCTAAAAGCAAAAGACAGGACTTGTAAATTCTTACAGCTTAAGATATAACATTATGAAACAGCAAATTGTTTTCAGTATGGAGTCAAACTAAATGAATCCTTTTTCAACACTGTTCAGCTATCGCTAGAGTTCCATAACCAAATGAAATAGAATCTTCAAATTCGAGCAGAAAATGTAGATTAAGTTATATGGAAATAGGACTTACTCCCATGGAACATCACCAACGAGCATCCAGTCACCATCCTTGTCTTCATAAGTCAGAACGTATTCAGAGCCATGGAGAAGATCCTTTAAGCAATTCTCTCTAAGATGCTCTTGCCCGGGAAGTCCATGAGACGCACAATGCCCTGGGTCACAATCATAAATTAAACAACTTCTAAAATAAATATCTTTTTACAGTCAAGGTTGGAATAAGTTCCTTTTTTTAAGAGTTGCACAAGTTACTATCAAAATAAGTAACTTTTTTTTCTTTTTCTTTTTCTTTTTTTTTTTTTGAGAAACTTAGAAATGGATATATTATCCAACATGTTTGGAAACAAAAGTTTACTTAAAAGTAACTTTTAAGCTTAGCCAAACATTCTACTGTCAACAGAAGTCAAAACTCAAAATCATTACACTAAAGTTAGAGGGTAGTACCGATGTGCGGAACGTCAAGAAGCCGGAAACAGAATTTTAGAGGAATATAGAAGTACTACACAATTTGATTCAGATAAGAAATTTTGGGGTATAGCCCTAGCTAAAAACAGATCTCATGAAAATCACACATGCATTTATTTATGTTTGTGCGTTGGCACACATGCACGCACGCTCATACAAACACGTGTTTGAGAAGCCAGAGAGGGAAGAGTACCAATAGTAAAGCAACTAAACATTTTCTCAAGAGCAGAAGAAAGCTCTTTGTAGCTGCAATAGGTTTTAAGGTCAATCTTCCTCAAATATGGAGCACCATCCATGCTAACCTTCACATAAAGGGAGCCTACTCCCGATTTTCCCTCATCATCATTATTTTTAGATAAATTGGTGGCTAGGGTGTTCTTACGGAAAGATCTAATGGGTGGCCATCCCACCACTTGTGCCCTGTTGAGAAAAATAAGATTTGTCAGTTTAAGGATATTATCAGATAAACAGGAGAAAAAGAAAATTTCTTGAACTTCCAAAAGATAATGGCTTTGCTAAATGATGTGAAGGACGAGTACGGTGCTAGAAGTACCTGATTCTTGGAAGTTAACTGTAAACAATATAGATATAATTCAAAGAAAAACAGAGCTAATATATTACAGGATGATTTAGAAGAGAACTTGCACAAAAATGAAGTTCAAGTTCAAGAAAACACTATTTTCAATAGAGAACTGAAGATTGACAGCCAAAACATTCTAGAGACCCAAACATAAATTAAACTTTATCACAACCAAACATTAGTGGTTAAGCCTAATCCCTCTTTACATTAGCAACGATAAAGATAACAAGCAAGCACTTATAGTGGTTCACCCTCGAGGCGAGAACTAAGTCTATTTTGTTGCTGTAACTATCCTAAAATTTTGTGTGCAATAGAGTGGTATTATAGCAATATGCGGTTAAGGAGATGTGTACAATATGATTAAGCTCTACAAAGCCGAACATCAAACGAGTATCAAAAGAAACATTACAAATTGTGAAAGAATATATAGAAAGATAAGAAGTACAAAGACTACTATCAGGAAAAGAGGGGGAAAACTCACTTTGAAGCAGGAGCAGCACTATTATTGTCATTCTTTTTCTCTTCAACGGGCTTTCGAGGATTCCGGTTTCCAATTTCTTTTCCAGAAGGTCCAGCTAAGGAACTTTGCAAAGT